ATACTTAAGGTTGATGGGAATAGTAAATAACACTTAAGAAGGTGTGGATATATTCCCTTTGATCTTTTATTATAAGATTATTTTAATTAAATTATACGTTTTTAAAAATAGTTAAAATTAATTAAAAGTAATAAATATATAAAAATTAGGTCCTCGAAAGAAAGGAACGAACGAACTAGCTGCCTAAAAGGTAATGAATGTAAAAGTCGTTTATACCTAAGGCCATTATTGTCCACTCATACAAGAATTAGGTCCATGAAGCCATTTTTTTGGTTGGCCAAAAAAGGGGGTGCACTTGAAACCATTTAAATTTAAATAATTACATTTCTTTAGCCAACTCTGTATGTCGTGAGTCAAATTTGATTATTGTAGGATCAAACTAAATATGCGCAGTGTGATTTTTCTTTTTCAATCTACACTACTAGCTAGGTTTGAACATATATTACAATTAGTTAAATAATTTTGATTTTTGCTTACGGTCTTTATCATAAATAATTGCAACTGCGGGATCTCGTCTGTCATTGTCCCTTGTCTCTGAAAGCCATATCCATATCCATAATGAATAGGTTTCTGTCTCCGAGAAATGACGAAATGAATGACTTCACATGTCCTTGGTTCCATTGAATATCCTTCGATCTGAATGTTGAATAAAGGTAATCGCACTGGTTTTTGGAATAAAAGTTCAATTACGTTAATAAAATGGGGTTAATACATAAAATCCTAGCCTAGATAATAATGAGAAAGTTGCAAGGATTGGGAGAAAGCATCAACTAAGATTACATTTACATATTGAAATATTCTTAAAAGAAGGATAATATCTAGAAAAACCATATTATGAGCATTATCATATGACGAAAGCACCTGGGAGGTATACTTTTGTAACAAGCATTCTGAAGAGTTGAGTGTGAAGATTGAGCCAATAGATTGTTGCTTGTTATCCAACTCAGGCATGCCCATAGACGACATTTCAGCAGGAAGAAGAAGCATCCTTTTCTCTTCCTCTTCCTAAGGAATCTTTGTAGAGGTTGATGTTGATAACATATTCATATTTTGCACATCTTTTTTAATAATTATCAACCAGCCAGAATTGGCGAAAATAGATTTCTTGATAACTATTGGTCCTCATTGGTAGGAAGTATTAAAAATTAGGGATTGGAATTAGGATTGAGATTGAGAAAATCTATTAAAAAAGTATTTAGCATAAGAGATCGTTTGATATATAGGATTAACCAAACCCATACATGTGGTATTGGGAAATACAATGGGAGGAAATGGTATTCCCCAATCCTACTTCTATAAGTTTACCTAATCTCATGTAACAAACAATTACTCATGCTAAATACTATTATAATGATTTTTTTTCAATTGCAATATCAATTCTCATCCCTCATTTTCAATACCTTGTACCAAATGGGATCTCTTGGCTTCCTAATAGCCTGGGGACAATCATCCTGCTGGTAATCCTATTGAAAAGCAAGATTTGAGAAATTGATTGCATGAAGTATTTCTTTGACCACTCATTGTGGATCATGTTTCTATCTATGATGCAAGGAGAGATTCCCTTTCTTCCAAATAAGATTGATTAGAATGATTATTTATCTCACTAACTCAAGAAAACAGTCATGGCTTTGCCCAAGGTAATCACACGGTTGAATCTGGGACAATGAAAATAATTTTGTTAAAAAAGATATATCATCAAATTAGTAATATTCTAATAAATACCATTTTCATGTTTATTAATAGTCACTTGTAAGTTGTAACTCTTTCTCACATACTGAAAAAAAATGATAAGTGAGTGACTCAATGTGTTTTAATATCATAAAATTTTTTAAATTTGCTCTTATCAAAATTTTTCTTTCTCTATATTCACAAATCATTATCATTTCTCTCTTCTCTTTGTCTCTTTCCAACTAAAATTAAATATGAGTAAATTTGGAAGACAGTTATTAATAACCTTTTAAATGACTCATATTTAGAACTGGCAAATTTTTTTCTACAAATAACTTATATTAGGAATCGGAGTAGCAATATGTTTACTAATTAATATTAAGCATGGTCTACAGATCTCTTCCAATTATCAAGGAATTCCTAAAACTTTGGCTATACGGATTGTGATTCCAAGTTTTCCCTTCTCTAAATTTCTAGTTGTATTCTCTTTTGCGTAAACTTAACAAAATTCTCTCATATTTTTCTATATTTCTAACTGTTAAAATCTGATATTGTTCCGAACCAATGTTTTTTCATAGATTTGCAATCCAATCAAAATAAAATAGAAACAACGAATAATATTGCATATTTATGCCGCCAGTAGACACTTTCAAATATCAGATAGACACAGCACCCGCATATCATATGTGGACCTGCCACAACATAATGCATATATTATATATAGCCTTTTAGATAATACTTGACTTTAATCTAAGTTTTAACTACCAGACATTAGAATAGAGACAGATGGAGGAATCCAATAATGGAGATATCCAAATATAATTAAAAATAAAATTATTTTGGCAAAAAAAAAAGGTATTTGAGTTACCGAACAAATTAAAACTCTATTTTGTTCTATTATAAAGTACGTTAGAATTTAAAAGAGCTAAGAGCTGAGAAAATAGCATATAATCGGAATAAAGGCAAAGCAGATCCAAACTTCTTTGCTCCTGAAATTTTCAAAGGCCATTGTGTCCAAGTCAAATTTCTTTTGTAATTAAAATAATTAATATTTCGACCAGCCAAAATAGTAAGATTAACGTAAATGCAAGTAGCAACGAAAGTTTGAAAAAAAAATCAAATATATCTAACGGAAGAGAAATAAACAAAAAAAAAATCAATTATTTCATGCTACAATCAATGTACAAAAAATGTTGAGTTTTTAGTCTAAAATTTTTTATTATAAAATTTTTACCCAATTGAAGTATAAAATGAATTACATATATTATGAAAATTTTAGCCAGATAATTTTTGTGACAAAAAATTAAAAAAGTGCTACATTGCTCCAGTTATAAATATAAAAGTTATATCCCCAGTTTATAGGAATCAAAAGAGTTAGTTAAGATAGCCATTTATAAGATATATATGTTGGTTTTTTAAAAATATTTTTTTAATCATTGGCATTCGCAATCTGGGATGGAAATTCCCCCAGTAAGTGCGACATATATATATATAGGTAATTTGAAAAAATAAATTATAGATTGAAAAAATAAAATATATTGTGATCTTACATATAAAACTAAAATAAATCTATTTACCGACTCCTACATTTATCGTTGGGAGGGTATTATGGTTACCCGTGTGGTATCATATGTTTTTGTTTCTCAATATGCGTATCAAATCATATATTTTAAGTTCTTGGTTAAAAAAAAAAATTCAAATGTTTAGAGTGAAAATTACAAATAAGTTTAAGAGATGAGAAGCTTATTTATAAATTATATATTTTTAATTTGCTAAATAACTAATGCTAATTCCTAAGCGGCTTGAGTGTAATTTTAGACCCGTGAAAAAAAGTAAATTAAATTATCCTTTAATCAACGCTTTTGACCAAATTTTGACCGGCTCCGGGGCCATTATTGCCCATGGCTGGACCATCATCGGCTGCGGCGCCAATAAGTGATTAAAAATAATATCTTATTTTATCAAAAATATTAATAATATTATGAGGAGAAAAAAGATAAAAATAAATGAGGGAAGAAAGAGGGAAAATCCCTAAAAGATGTTAGAATAACTCAAATTTTTATTTGAATAATTGAATTTGTCAAAGTTTTAATTAAATCACATGACCCAAAAAGAAATAATTTTAATTTTTGGAAAATTGACCCTAATACCCCAAAAACCTAGAGAGATGGGAATTTTTTATTATTCTCACATTGCATAAGAGCTGTGGACAAAGAAAACTTGGTATCTATCATTACAAAGATGGAAAATCTATTAAGGAGGCAACAGTAAGTTAGTTTTTATATTAAATTTTCTTAACTTAATACCAATAGTTTCATCCTAATCATAGAAAGTTGTAAATTAAAAATTCAAACGTGTTAACTGTGAAATAAAATATGTTAATTTGAAATTCTCTTTTAGTTTTTAATAATAAAAATATTAGAGTCATTTTATAAAATTTTACAATGATTCTTTGGGTTGCGTAATCTTATTAGGAGTTTGACAAATTCAAAGACAATAAAAAAATTAGGTTATTTAAATGTCATTTTAAGAATTTTTTTCTAGAAAATATGTATGAGAAATATATAATTAATTGAAGCTGAAAAAGGATAAAGTGAATTAATTTTTCATTGGAGGAATACCTATAACATAGATATATAATTATGTAGAACTTGTACCTTTTTACTCATTTTATATTTAAATTTACTTTTTAATTATCTTTTAATAAAATTTAATTTGTCAAATTGATTTTTTTGCATTACGTTAATTTATTTTTATCCCAATTTTAGTTATTAAAAATTATTTAGAATAAAAATTATTTTTACAAATGTTAATCTAAACACCCTCAAAATGTTGTTGGTTAACTTCAATTGGGTGAGAAATGAATTTTGGCCTGTTTACTTTACTTGTATTAAAAACCAATAGTTTGGCAAATTCGGGGGATCATGTGTAAATAAGTTTTTTCTTTCGACCTTATCCGTAATTTGCTTCATATTTGAACTATTCTAAACAAAAATCAGAAAACCAAAAAAGGCGATCGTACGTGGACTTGGTTTTGAAAATATAAGAAGAGAAGGAATCAGATTGCAGGGCGAGGGAGGAGCCTCTGACCAGGGCGCAGAGGCGAAGAGTGTACACATCTGTCTCTCTCTCTCTCTCTCTCTGAGCTGCGTGGTCATATCATCGTCATCATCTTCTTCCTCCTTCCTTAACTCCTCTCACCCACCTCTCTCTCTCTCTCTTCCCAAGGACTCTTCAAACCTTCTCTCTCCCATGCTGTTGCTTCATAAATCTCTCATATAAACAGGTCTTGTTTCTGAAGTCTTAAGGAAGACGTAATTTGTTTGCCAATTATGGGAAAAGAAGGTGGGTATTGGGGAGGAAGATCTTCCAAGAGAGCTGAAGCAGAAACTCCTTCTGGTTGCATCTCTGCTTTCTTTCAGTTGTTTGATTTCCACCCTTTTCACTTCTCCTTACAACACCAACCACAAGCTTCTTCTAATTGCCACCACGACACTGTCACTATCCCCAAAGGTATGAATCTCCCTGGCTCTTTCGTTTTCCTTTTAAGTTTCTCTCTTCCTGGGAGTTCACAGTTTCATGGTGTTTCAGGCACTGAAGCACCTAGGAACAGTTTGGAATCAGAGGAGGGCTTAATGGTCTCTTCCATTTCTTCAAAAGAAGAAAATTTAAAAATCCCAGTAAGTTAAACTCGTTCACAGCACTTTCACCTGTTTCCATGTTTAAATTTGTTTATTCTGAAAAGTGAGTAATGATATAGTGATGATGATGGTGTGTATGTTTGACCACCAGTTTGGTTTTGTTTTTGATTTTGAAAATCCAGAAGAATAGTAAATTATTCATCAAAACAAGTGCGGGAATTAGCAGCAACGGTAATAAACTGGCAAATGTGAATGATCTTTCCCCAGGAACCAAGACTCCAACTTTGGTGGCCAGATTAATGGGTCTTGATCTTCTTCCAGACGCTCAATCTCCTTCTTCTTCTTCTCCTTCATCTTCTTCAACCACTACCACTTCTTCTTCATGTCTTTCTGCAACAAAGTCTCAGGTTAACTCACATCTACATCACCACCAACACCAACACCGCCACCTCAGACCTCGGCAACACAACGTTATAATAACAAAACCCAGACATAGCATGGATGACAGTATTGCAGCCTCTCGTTTCTTACCTGATACTCCTCGAATATCATCAGCAAGAAGATCAGATGTTGAACACAGACTGTCTCTTCAGATCAACAAAGAGAATATGGGTGTTGGGGAAAATTTGGAGCTACCTCGGTTTTCATTTTCAAAAGTCAAGAAGTTTGAAGAGCAGCACAGTAGCAATAATAAAAGTCCAAGGCATTACGCTAAGCAAATTGTGAAACAGATGAAAGAGAGTATGATGAGCAGGAAAGTAGGGATTGACGTCACCAACACTGTGAAAAACAACAAGAGATCAGGGGAGCAAGAACGAGGAGGTGAATTTGTGGGCCAATTCATGAGGAGCAAGAAATCTCCCAGGACGCCGACAACTTCATCAGTGAGTAAAGTTGCAGGCAATGAATTAAGCAGCCCAGGCAAGGTTTCAAATAACCCATCTTGTTCCCCAAGGCTCAGATTCATGGACCCCAAGAACAAGTTAAGCACAGTGTCAACGACAGGAAATGAGGATCAAATTTCACCACAGCCAGTAGTCAAGTTGGATAATCAACCACAGGCTGTTTCAAGCGTTTTGGCTCAGGCAAAGCCTCAACCCATATTATTTGAAGAACAAGAAGCTCAGTTTCAGACGCAGAAATCGTCAGTCCCAAAGTGTAAGAAAGCAGCGAATGAAAAGTTCAGTCCACGGCTCAAGAAACCTATCATTCGAAACAAGCAAGATGAATCGTTTGTTCGACCATTATCATCTCCTAACAGAGCCAGTGACATAAAGAGTACAAGTAAAAGCAAGAAAAATCATCCATTGTTGATCAAGCTTCTCAACCTCAACACAGTCCAAAATATAAACAGTAATACTCTTCCTGCAGCAGTCAACACCAAAATACCTCAGAAACAGGTATATTCAGAAGTTTGAATTACTATTCTCAATTATCTCTTGCGTGTTCAATTCAATTTCTTTTACTGTTACTAAAAATTTACACCTGTCTTTCCAGTACGGTTCAATATATCTCTGGTAAAAAAATGAACTTCCCCGTTTTGACTTTTTTACTCTTCTTTAAAAGACACAGGTATGTGATGCACGAGAAGCGAAATATTGCAGCTCACAGTTATTTAGCGGTTCGAGCCAGACGTACACAAAGGAAGCGACGTCTTCGTCGTGCATACTGAGCACTACTACTACTGGAGAAAGCAACGTCGACGAATTAGACAAACGTAAGATCAGTGGCTCCATGCTTAATTATAATGGTCCAGAATTTGAGTACGTCTCAAGCATCCTAAGCCGTACTGGCTTAGCAGTCAAAAAAGAAGGCCGCAGCACCAGAACCACAGTAGTGTCAGTGTCCTTATTCCGTCAATGGCTCTCCCCAACCCAACCCTTGGACCCTTCAATTTTTCACCATCTCGAGCAACAATTCCAGAACCAGAACCAGAATGAGAACCCCACTTCAAATATTTTCTCAGCTTCCTCGCAAGATGGAAACTTGAGGCCTAAGTATGATCTGGGTGTACGAAGTAACCGAAGGTTACTGTTTGATCTGGTTAATGAAACATTGTTGGAGGGTTTAGGGCCTTATTACGATGAAGAAATGGTGTGGGAGAGGATAACCGGGAGGTTTCTGAATAAGAAGTGTGAGGTTCTAGAAGACATAGATGCTTTAGTAGAAATGGAAGATATGGGGAAGACGATGATGAAGATGAAAAGTGCAGAGGCACTGATGGCAGAAATTGAAGGGAACATCATGGACACGTTGCTGCATGAGACGGTTAGGATGGTTACGGAGTGTGGCTGTTGGTGGTGGTGGTACGGAAGGAAGGACGAGGACGACGCCGTTTAGCAGAGCAGAGAGGGGGGGAGGGGAGGGGAGGGGGACATGTCACGTGGGTGGTTCACGTGATGGCTTTTTTGGGGTCGTGGCGAGTGGGGCCCACCGGGACCCGTCATTTTGAACCCTAAATTTTGACCCTTCCCCCGACACAGCTCGCTTTCTGATTGGCTATTTATTAAAAGACAAGATTGGGCAGAGGAATCCAATTCTCTCTCGTTGAGCTTCGTACATAGACTAGCCATTAGAATATTGTTTATCAGTTATTACTATTTTTTTTTTCATTTTTTTGTGACCCCTGTAGTATTCAATTTAACTATTTATAATCATGTATGTATAGGTCATACCTTGTGAAAATTTAGGAAATTTCATCATTTCTTCTTCTTTTAGTCATTGGTGCTGTTTTTCTAGTGATTTTTACTCAAAAATGTCATTTTTGTTGTTATAATATTAGTAGTTTTTAATTAAGAATGAAAATGTAAAGAAAATATTAGAATGATAAAGATAATATCCGTACCATTACATTAACAAGTCATAAGAGCTTGAGCACCTAAGGTGAAGATAATTCTCAAATATCATTAATCTTTCATAAATTTGATTCTTTATAATGCTGAGCTTTTTCTTCAACCAAATTACTTTTCGGCTATACAGAGGTATAAACACCAATTAAGCAGATTGTTAGGTACATAAAACTAGTTGGCCAAAAAAATTGACGCAAGCCTAGGAAGTAATTATTATCATCCTACGGTCCTTTTTACTGGTTCTAGTAATTTCACTCCCAAAAACACAGCTTTCTTTCCTCCTTAATGCAAATAATTGGTTATTTCTGTATATATTATCTATATTTAGGTGTGATAAAACACCTTAACTTCGATAGGCTTCTAATTATTATCATTCTAAAAAGTGGTGTGACCATGAAGTGAATTCGAATATGAATTGGGGAGTTGTGATTAAAAAAAATGATAGGCTTACATCAGCTTTTGAATTAGGATAAGAAAAAGAGAAGATGGTCAGAGAGAATCATATTATAATTTGGTTCTTACTTCATGGAATTTTGAGATTGTCAGGTAGCACAAGAACAAGACTGCAAATCATTTTAATTTTCATAAAGTTGGTTTTGCATGGAAACATGAACTCCAATTACCAGCACAAACATTTTCCCTGTTCCTGGAATATAACAAAATGAAAGCGCCTTGAAACCCTAAAAAAAAAAACACAACCTTTTTTTTTTCAATACTAGTAATTAATACGAGAAACTCTAAATAAAAAAAATGTGCTTATTAGAAATTCAATCCATAACCTAGGGTTTTCAGAAGCTAGATTCGTACGACTTTTTGAATGTTTTTTCTTTTCCTCTGTTGGAATCAAAAATAGAGGGGGAAAAAAAAGAAGAAAGACACTTTCGCAGGTGTCAATGTAAGGCAAGAAAAGGAGTAAAAGTGAAAAGAAAGTGACTAGGAACCTTTTTTTTCGGGTGTATGAATAGGAAGTTGTTTCATTTAATATCTTCAGCAACTTAGTTATTGTACAATGAATATCGAAGGAATAAGGTAAACTTACCTTTCAAAAAAATTAATAAGTCAGGCACTCTTAGAACTATAAATAAAATTAAATTTGCAAGCTCCTACTTATAAAAAAAAATTTATATTACTGGGTTGTTAGACCATTGGCAGTAAAGAGATAAATCTAATAAAAAAAAATTTATATTACTGGGTTATTAGACCATTGGCAGTAAAGAGATAAATGTAATCATGCTTTTCTCTCCCCTTCCTTATTCTCCAATGTTTTTATCGGGAAATTGGAAAAAAAAGGACAGAAACCAAACCATGGTTTCAGAAGTGCTTTTACGGATTACGAAGTAAATATGTGAAGGAAGTTATTTCGTTTTACGAAAAAGTGATTCTGAAACCTTGATTTTAGTTTTGTCAAACACTCCCTAAATGATTGTAAATTTGGGAGGAAGAACCAACGCTTGAAGGGTCATTGCAGATTCCAACAAATCTGCAATGATTTTTAAGAGATCTTCAAGAATAATGTGCATTGATGGTTTCTGAATCTGTTTTGTAGCTAGATACCTTTCAATACTAGGTACTTCCTTTCAAATTTTTCTCTTATTTTCTTTCCCCCAGTTTTTCCTATTTTTATATCAAAAAAAAAACTCAACTAGATGCATTTTTTTGTACTGTCAACTAGATACATTTGTTTGTACTAACTTTTGTATAGAGTCTAGTGCTCTAGTCTAATGTTAATAACGCTATTTATAATTCTGAATAGCATGACTTTTTTTATGCATACAGCATGACTTTCTATACAAGTTTCATATATTATATTTAACTGATACATCTTTTTATGCTTAAAAAAAATATTATACTTGAACAATTAAAAGTTGACGTGGATAACGCAAAAATTGAAAAAGGAGCATAGAAGAAAGAAAGAAACCATATGGGGGCTACACCCTACAACAACTTTGTATAACAAACTAAAGAACAAGGACAAATATTCAAGAAAGAGCGGGAAATTCAAACACAGGAAGCAAGCAAATAATATATATATGTATAAAATATAAAGCAAGTACATCAGCTTATTAATTAATGCACAACACATGCAGCTTAAGTAAGTGTGCCATAATGGTAATAGGAAGAGGAAAGATGATAAAAATTATAGTAATGGGAAGTGAAGGTGGTGAGAGAGCTGACTTGCTATTAAATGATTCTATCTGTTGGTTTGTTGAGTTTATTTTCCATCTAGGGTTTGTGATCTAAGTTGGTGAGTTTTCTGGTTCTGCGATATCTCTTTTATATATTTGAAAGTCCTTCACACACACACACACACACACAGAGTCAATTATTGATGAACTGATTGGGAGAAAAGGGTCTCACAACAAAAGCTGACATGACTTTGGATACAAAAGGAAAAGAAAAGTGCAATAACTCAATCTTTTTCGTTCTGTGCGTTTCTATCTATCTCCTTTTATCCTTTGTTTGATTCCATACCGTATAATATAAACCCTTTCGAGTCATTAGAGGAAAATCAAAATAAAACAAACAACTCATCAGGCACATAGATCTTTAGTTCCATCACCTAACCAATAAGGCTGAAGAGGAGAATTGCAATTTAAAAAAAAAAATCACAAAAACTTACAGATCTAATGAAATTTATTTTCCTTAAATTAATTAATAAAACAACCACTAATTAACGACTAAAGTTACAAATTGGATTGAACTAACAAGTCAGCGCGGCCTCTCACTTACAGAGGAAATCTCATGTTATTAGACCATAAGGTCATCAACAGGTATCTAATAAGTTAGTTGACCCTGGCCCAATTACCATGAGTCATGGGACAGTGAAATAAAAAGTTTTGTAATGGGTCATTTTGTGATTTTATCACTTGTTTGTAAAATGATAATTTTCTAAATAATTACTAAAAATACTAATTTATTGAATAAAAATAATTAAATACTGACTGTCCTATAACTAGGGGAAAAAAAGTATAGCTTCCAAATTTATATGCATGGTATATCACTGCTGTTATGAAAATCTCATGTTATTTTGTTTTATAATTGAAAAGTGAATCTCGTCCCTATATGTTAGACGTTATACTTTGAACTTTAGATAAATTCGAGAAATTATGTGATGGGGCGCCAATAATCATTAATGTAATTTAACAGGTGTTTAAACAGTTATAATAATTAAGACGTATTTCAAATTCTCGTGCTCCGGAAGCAACAAATTACACCATAATGAAAACATATAGCATCTAAATTTATGCATGACATCGCTGCTATTATGAAAATCTTATGTTAAATAATTGAGAAGTGAAAATCTCGTCCCTATATATATAAATATTCCTTTAGTCCTATTTATAAGGCAGAGAGAGAAGATTTTTTTTATCTTGTTTATAAGTCACTTCATTAAATTTTTAGTATGAATGTGCTATTTTGCCCTTCATTTATTATAGTGCAAACATTTATTTATTTTTAAAGGTGTACTCCTCTAGTCCTATTTATAGGACAGAGAAAGAAGAAAATTTTTGATCATATTTATAGGGTAGAGAGAAAATATTCATATGAATCTATAATTTTACTCTTGATTTATTATTGTGTTGATTTAATTTATATAAGATATATTGTATATTAAATAGTGATAAAATTGAAAGGTTGTTGAATTTTAAACAAGAGGTAATGAAGTTAAAAATTCTTATTGATCTATGTGAGATATATTGAAAGTGAGTTATAAATAAGACCAGAAAAACATATATTAAATAAAAATGAAATTAAAAAATTATTATATTTTAATAAAGAGTTAATACAATTTAAAATTTTTCTTACTGTGTGTGTGAAAATCCTATCTCATCCCTGTATTCAACATTTTGAACTTTAATAAATTCGACAAATTATGTGATGACACGCCAATACAATAATCATTAATGTTGACGGTCGTTTTAAACCGTTTACAGTTTATAATAATTAAGACTTGTATTATTTTTCTTGTATTATTAATTCTTGCACTGCAGAAGCAACAAATTACTCCAAAAATCATTATTAGGTAGTTCAATTTCAATTGATAGCGACAGTATGTAATTGGCTATAGCTAAAATGAGATAATTCCAAAACCATTTGAATAAATACGAAAACCCTAAAGTTTCTACATTATCATCTCAAGTTCTGTACAAAGGGGGCAACAAATTACTCCAAAAATCATTATTAGGTAGTTCAATTTCAATTGATAGCGACAATATATAATTGGCTGTAGCTAAAATGAAATAATTCCAAAACCATTTGAATAAATACGAAAACCCTAAAGTTTCTACATTATCATCTCTAGTTCTGTACAAAGGGGCCCCAGAATACAACCTTATGTGCAACACATAATAATTTCAGATGTGACTCAATTGATGTGACTCAATACAGAGTATGGATGGAAATTACAGAAGGGGGGGGGAGAGAGAGAGAGAGAGAGAAGGGTGCTGAAAGTGAGGGTAAAGAGAGGGATCCATTGACGCAGAAGGAGCAGGCTGAGACTGTGACTACTGAGTCA